AAAAAAAAAAAAAAAGCAGAATGTTGAGTTACTGAAGCTGGGTGTAAAAAAAAAAAAAAAAGTAACTTTTTTTTGAGACAGGGTCTTGCAAAAAAAAAAAAAATGGAGTGCGGTGGTGCAATCATAGCTCACTAAAAAAAAAAAAAACTATACTCAAATGATTCTCCTGCTTCAGCCTCCTGAGTAGCTAGGACTACAGGCATGCCACCATATCTGGCTAAAAAAAAAAAAAAAAATTATTTTTTGAGATGGAGTTTCCCTTTGTAAAAAAAAAAAAAAAGCAGGGGTTCAATCTCGGCTCACCACAACAAAAAAAAAAAAAATTCAATTGATCAATTGATTCTCCTGCTGCAAAAAAAAAAAAAAATGGGACTACAAGTGCGCGCCACCATGCCCAAAAAAAAAAAAAAATTTTAGTAGAGACGGGGTTTCACTCTGCTGAAAAAAAAAAAAAAGAACTCCTACAACCTCCTGACCTCATGATTAAAAAAAAAAAAAATCCTAAAGTGCTGGGATTACAGGCGTGAGCAAAAAAAAAAAAAAACATTTGGCTAATTTTTATTTTGTTTTGGTAAAAAAAAAAAAAACACTACATTGTCCAGGCTGGTCTTGAACTTAAAAAAAAAAAAAAAGCGATCCTTTTGAGTTGACCTCCCTAAATAAAAAAAAAAAAAAGTGAGCCACTGTGCCCAGCCAAAAAGAAGCAAAAAAAAAAAAAAAGACTAGCCCCTTTAAATTAAAGCATTGAAATTAAATCCATGGAATGAAACTCCTCCTTGAACTAAATCATTATAAAAAAAAAAAAAATCATTTCTGTAAACCAGTGAATTCCTAATGAAAAAAAAAAAAAATTGTCCTTTTCTCCTGATTCATCCTTTTTCAAAAAAAAAAAAAAGCCTCTCTTTTGTTCCCTGGAGCACTCGCCAAAAAAAAAAAAAAATGTGTCCTGGGCTGCACTTCTCAACCTTGGCCTAAATAAACTCTCTATATTAATTTTGCCTAAGCGTCTTCCTAAAAAAAAAAAAAATGATGGGTACATGAGGTTCATTATACTGTGAAAAAAAAAAAAAAACTTGAAATTTTTCATAATAGAATGCTTTTAAAAAAAAAAAAAAATGTGAAAAAGAAATTGGGGACAAAGGATGAAAAAAAAAAAAAATACACATTTTCGTGGTTCTTTTATTTGAAAAAAAAAAAAAAAAAAGGTATAAATTTGGCTGGGCGTAGTGGTGCAAAAAAAAAAAAAAAGCTACTTGAGAGACTGAAACACAAGAATCACTTGAACCCAGGAGGCAGAGGTTGCAGTGAGCTGAGAGTGAGAAAAAAAAAAAAAAAAAAAGAGGGTATAAATTTAACACTTTTAAAAAAAAAAAAAAAAAAAAGCTGACGTCATAGGAAACAGATAATTCAAAAAAAAAAAAAAAATTTTTCTTGTATTCTGAATAGTGACCACAGGAAAATTTAAGAAGTTACTTTATCCGTAAGATAAGTTGATTAAAAAAAAAAAAAAAACATATAGATATGTATGTATATATCTATATAAAAAAAAAAAAAAATACATACATATATATATTAGGCACAATCAAAAAAAAAAAAAAAATTATTGGAATTTAAAAATATAGTTGCTAAAATTAAAAAATCAATATAAGGACTGAACAGAGAGGTCCATGGAAAAAAAAAAAAAAAAAAGCAGAAAGATAAAAGGAAATGAAAATATAAAAAAAAAAAAAAACACATACAGGGTTAATCCAGGAAGGATGCTGTTCAACTAATAGTTCCTGGATTGACACTTTGTATGTTTTCAGAAGAAAGACAAGAAAATTCAGGGGAGAATATAATGAGAGAAATAAAAAAAAAAAAAAACCCAGAGATAAGGACAGGAGTCTTCAGCCTAAAAAAAAAAAAAAGTGCCAGGCATAAGAAATAAAAATAGACCCATACTTAACCATAACCTTTTGATTTTACAGTACAGAAAATACTAAAAAAAAAAAAAAAAGGCTTCCAGAGAACAAACAACAGGCCAACAAAAAAAAAAAAAATGTCTGAACAGCACCAGTCTTCCCATTACAAAAAAAAAAA